TTCGCAATTGTCTGAGGCATGCGCGATGAAATTGCAATGCATGTGCCACCTCAAATCCTGTATGTATGAGTCCATGAACACTGCTGGTGTAGGCACACTGCTGCCAAAGTTTGACTCTTTGTCTGGGATTGAGGCCGCGTTTCAAATGGAGCCACTTGTGCAACAGTTGTTGTGTTCTGGTGCCAGCTTGAAGTCTGTGTGTCATGGTCAGTTTTTCAGGGTTGAAATACGACAGTTTCACTCCCAAATACGTGTGGTTGTTCACAAGTTGAATCAAAGTAGTGGATCCATCACCTCTGGGGATTTTCAAAAAGGTGCCTCTGCTGTTTTTGAGGAAGAAACGTTTGTGTGTTTGTTGCAACTTGCGTCCATTCATTCTGCACAACGCCACTGTTTTGTCCACATTGATGGGGAGTCCGGCATGTTCCAAACAGTCCATGAGATGCCCAGCACGTCTCAGCAAAACGATGAAATCATCTTGACTGTGAAAGATATCATGTTGGCAGATGTCATCTGCAAAGGCAGTGAGGCAACGTTGAAGCCACTGCCATGGACTGTATTCATGAAGAGCTACGAAGATCTGAACAAAGTACAATGCCCATAAAATGGGAGCACATTTGCAACCTTGTCTGATCCCTTTCAGCGTCTCAAATTGTCGATACTCTCCCTTGTAAGTGAACTCAAAGTGCGTGTGATGGTAAATGGATTGCAACAAATGTTGTAAATCAGGGGAAATCTGCAGATCTTCAAGACCCTTGAAAAGAAGGTCCCTACGCACTTGATCAAATGCCTTGGACAAATCAAGGCTGATGGTTAGGCCACCCATCAAGTCAGGGGCAGAATGTCCTGACGCAGCACGATGATATGGATATTGAAATTGCTGAAGCAATGTTCTGACCTGTGAGGTATGGTGCATCAATCTGTTGATGGCGTCAGCAACTCCTCTGTCAGGAACGTATGCAAATTGTGGGATCATTCTCAGCATCCACCAGGTCTCCTGCAGCAGTTGGGAGGCAGCAAGTCCAAGAACAACCTTGCCAGTAGGCTCTAACAGCGCGATGGGGCGCAAGTCAGAAGGTGCCTTGCCTTGTCGTCCAGGCTTTGGTAAGAATGTGAGGCTTCCGTCACTCCATTCCTGTGGCAAGCGGCCCACAGCACTGAGATGTGTGAGGTGTGGGTGCAGAAAGTCTGCAATCTCAGGTGCAGCCATATGCCAAACTGGTGCAGGTGCATATGATGGTGCAAGTGATTTCATCAATGGCAATTTCAAAAAACCGTTCATCATGTCTGCCGTTGTAAATGGCCATTGAAATGATGTTGGTGAATGAACCACCTTGTCGGCATGATAGAGATCTTGAAGACATCGTTGAAGCATGTCAGCTTCCTGAGAAGGAGTAGCAATTGTGCCATCAGAATTTCGAAGTTGAATGCGATGATTGCTTTGTTTTGGAGCAAGTGTTCTCACCGCCTGGTAAAGTCGAAAATGATCATGAGCACGTTCAGCTTCTGATGCCTGTTCAAAAACACGCTGCAATTTGGCTCTTCTGGCAGTTTTGGAAGTGGCATTCATCAAAGTTCGTGCACGTTGGCGCTTGCAAACATGAAACCAAGCCTGTATGCAAGTTCGAATTTGAGAATCACCAGCAAGTTGTCGAAGTTGTTGTTCATGATATTTGAAGGCCTGAAAAGGTGTGAGATCAAATTGAAAAACGGGTTCAGGAAGTTTGGCATTGAAATCCATAGGTGAGATGTTGTTCATAGCCTTGTGAAGTGACTGCAACGGATCCAAATCATCTGAAAGGTTGGCAACATCTGATCGGACTTGTTGTTGTAGTGTAAGTATTGGTTGATCTTGGTGTTTCCAGCGTGTATATAGTTCCAGCCTCTGTCGATGGCTCCACGCAGTGTTGCCGGTCTTGGTTGTGGGAATCCATGTCCTGATGAGGGATGTCAGCAGTGGCAAATGATGTGCCCCTGTGGCACTGCGCATGAAAAACTCTGGCAATGCTTTGACCTCCTTGGATGTCTGATCAGCATGTACACGTTTGCAACAGATGTAGTCCAGCCTAGAGGCAACGGAATCATGTACAAATGTGGCTGGATTGCAATGTGACCAGGTATTCAAAGCCAATAAGGAGTGTTGTCGCAGCAAATCATGTAGTTCATGTGCATCATCATGTATTGTGCCTGTGCGATTGATGCCCTCGTGATTGAAGGTGCCCACACCGACGACGTTGGATCTGTGTCGCATGGAAGTGTTGAAATCACCAAGCAAAGTTACCAAATTGCGTTGAGGAATGCGTGTGAGTACATCGTTGAGTTTATCCAAAAGTCGTTGACGGTGGTCAAGATTGTTGGTTGAATAAACATGCTGATATAAGTTCACAAAATCATGTCCTCTTGTTTGTCCGTGAACTCTGATATGCAAAATGCGTCCCCTGTCAACTTCATCCCAGGAGATCTGATGGGCCTGACAAAATCTCTTTGAGAGCATGCATAGAACACCACCTTGTTTGCCTGAGAGTCCGCTGTGAATGCAGTGATATCGTGTTTGTGACCATTCTGATGTAAACGGCCAATGGGTTTCTTGAATTGCAATGAAGTCAATATTTTGTCCATCCAGCCATTGTTGAAACATGTCCCATGTGGCTGGTGCCAGGCCTCCAGCATTCCAGGTCATCGCAAGAAGACGCTTGCGCATCACTCTTTTCGGTGGATCCAGTTGAGTTCCAGGAGATGCCTGAGAGATCTGCGGTTGAGATGAACATGTAGAGGTCATTGGATTGGTGAACAACTTCCCTCGGTACCATGTATACCCATGTAGCTCTGCACGTCGCTGAGCCCTGCGAAAGCTTCTTTTGGCAGTGGGTTTGGCATAGTTTGGTCCGGAGACCGCTTTTGGCTCCATTCCATGTAGTTTCGCAGAGGCAAAAGAACCCTCTGCTCTCATACCACCCATGGATGTGGTATAACCCTCACCCCACATCGTGTTGATACAACCGTGATCTATTGTCAATGTCAAAGCAAAAAGAACCAACAGCAAAATGGTCATACACGATGCTCGGACTTGGGACCGAGGTGCAGCTGCAAGTACTGAGTCAGAGATCGAAATCTGATTGGAATGCCTGAAAAACCTGGGTGGCATCAAAGGTCCGCTGGATGAAGAATATTGTAGCCAGGAGAGGACCCACTCAAGGGCGCGTTGGCCAGCAGGAGTGATCCACTCACTCAAATAGAATATATTCAACCAGAGAAAAATCCAATGAGCAACAGGGCCAGTGAAAAATCCAAAGAAGGGAGCCCACCCCTGATCCAAAGTGCTAAGCCCGATCGTCAGGTCAAAGTCAAAAGGGTGCAGGTAGAACAGCACAATGGGAGGAGGACGTAGTGCAACCAGGCGCAGCAGCAATGCTAGGCCACAGCAACGCACTGGAAGCAGGGCCAGTGCAACCAGCCACCACACTCCGGCAGGGAGTTTGCACGCCGTGTCAGCGAACAAGTACCAATGAGCGACGTGGGGCAATGGCTGCAGGCCAGGATTTTACCAGGCTTCACCTAGTCAGACTGAACTGACTTGCGTGCAGTACTCGCGACTGCAAAGGGGCTTGTTTGTGTGTGTGTGTGTGTGTGTGTGGGTGTGGGTGTGGGTGTGGGGTGTGGGTGTGGGTGGGTGTGGGTGTGGGGTGTGGTTGTGGGGTGGGGGGGTGGGTGGGGCGTGGGGTGGGGTGGGTGTGGGTGGGGCGGTGGGGGTGGGGTGGGGGTGGGGGTGGGGGTGGGGGTGGGGGGGGGTGGGGGTGGGGTGGGGTGGGGGTGGGGTGGGGGTGAGGGGTTGGGTGGGTGGTGGGGGTGTGTTTTTTTTTCCTACGCTCTTATTTCTGTGACAGAAATCCGCGCTCGCCAACAGCTATGGAATGTTTCCATGCCGGCTCTTCTGTTTCAGAAGAGTCTGGGTTCCCTACCGCCTCGTCAGCTGCCAGTGACTGGGGGAAAAATCACTGGGCAGCAAAGCTTCGGTGTCGTGCAATGGCGGATGTGGCATGTTGGAAATGCCATTGAAATGGTGCAATCCATGTCCAAAACTGCGGTGTTGCCCCGGGTCAGTGGGCTTCAGCCTGCGGATGCAAAGGACTTTGGTGTTTGGATCACTGGGCTCTACCCACGCGAGGAGTTGGCCGCTTTGGATCCACATTGTGACACTGCAGGTGAAACACATTCGAAGCAACAGCTTTTTTTTTTTTGGCTTCTTTTGGTGGCCTCCTTTTTTTTTTTGGCTTCTTTTGGTGGCCTTATATGACAGGGGTACACCTCGGGGATGCCGAGGGGCAATGTGCGATCGGGCGATCGTCACATAAGCTTGGGTGGGGTGCCAGTGGCGCATGGGCACATTGCTGGGGTACCTGCGGACAACTCAGAGGTGTCGCACTGGTAGAAATTGTTGGGTCATGGTGGCACTCCTGGTGCAATCTAAATCACCAGTCAATCACATAACGGGTTGCCAAAATGGCATCATGGTCGGAAGAAATTGGTGATACAACCTGCAGCGGCAAAAGAGCAGGAACAAGATCCAATTGAGCATGCCAAAATGGCCTGAGTTGAAGCGCCTCCTAGGCCGGAGCAAAATGCCCTGTGAAACTGTCTTATAGCCAAAATGGCGGTCCCAAAACAGAGTGCACCTTCTAGGTCTGAGCAAAATGCCGATTGTGCTGAGCAGTTCTCAGTTGCAAGGCCTGGCAACGACTGCAGTCCAAATGGTAAAAATAATCTGGAAGTCACTGGGCGACCCACTGAGGGAGTTTGCCTCGTTGGACTCATGGTGAAACATCTGACCATTTTTTTTTTTGGGGCTTCGTGCTGATTGGGCATTTGCCTCTTGGCCCTCGTTTTCTTTTTTTTTATCTGGGATCACTCACCAATGGTGAGGGCTTTGGGGGGTATGATGCTGAGCGAGGCCAGTGGCGGTCCTGGATGGCCCTCACTATGCATGCGGGCACATCATTACATCAGCCGGTGCTGTCAGTCAGCAGACGCACCAAGGCATTGTCTGTGGCAGCAGGGTGGGATGGCTGCATCACTTCTGTTGGCACCGGGGCCGCAGGCAAGTGGTGGAGCTCGACCTGAGAGCATTTGCATAGCCACATGCAAGTGACACCTTCTTCAAACTGCGGGGGAATGGACCAACAGCGTGTGGGAAGGCGATTATCATCACAGAACAGCCACATACTGGGACAGGCAATGTCGGTGGTCTCTGGGAATGTTTTGAGAAGTGCCTGGTAGTGCCCTCCATGTGCGCCACCAAGATGGGCAAATGCAGCAACCAGTTGATATGGCTCCCAACGGACCTGGGTGTCTTGTTGTAAGACTGGCAAGTGAATTGTCCAACAGAAGCGCACGGACGTGTGCAGTTTCTGTACCTGTCCATTGAGGTCATGCACCAACCTGTCAATGTGCAAGATAACAATGTCCGATGGTGCAGTCAGGCCCGTACTCATTCCAAGGTCCCCGTGCCAAAGCCTCACCAAATTTGCAAGACTGACATCATTGTCGGCAATCATGTCCAAGTCAAGCTGTAATGTGATGGGCATATGGGCGTCCCCTTGGTCATGCAGCTCTGCTTTGGCTCTGTGAATGACGCGGCGCTCCCATTTGTTCGACACAATGTCGGTCCCAATCCAGTTCAGCAACCTGTGGGTGAATTCTGCACTGTCTGCTTGGTCATCAGCTTGGTCCCACCCCGTAATAACTTGGTCAAACCAAACCAGTGAGTCCAGTGAAATGGGAGCATCTGTTGAATTGTGCAGAAATTCCAGCAAGGTTGCTGAGTGCTGGCCCCAGTCTGCTAACTGAAAATTTCTACGTGACATGGAGGTCCACAAATAACAAAGTACCGCGCTATTTGCGTAGCACAGGGTATTTGGGTTGGCCAGTGCAAGGCCTGTCATAGTCTGCCTCAGCTGTTGACGCTGCTCCCTTGTCAGGATGTCGCCGGTGGTGCTGAGGAGGCATTGGACGTGGTCTTGGGAGGTTGCTTCCCCTTGCCCGCTCCCTTGGTCGATTTGCCTTTGCCTTTGCCCACCAACTCCGAGAGGGCCTGGGCTTGTTTGGATAGGCTCTGTTGGTGTTGTTTCAGGCTCATGGCAAGGAGCCCCCACACCGAGTTGCCCGTCAGCTCGTTGAAAATGGCCCAGAGCTCGGAGTCTCTCATCGTCAGCTGAAGGATCCAGGGAGTGGTGTCCTGTTGTGTCCTCAAGCTGTGGAAACGGAGGACATGCATGTTGTCCTGCAAGGCGGCGATCAGAGTCTTCAGGGTCTTGACCATCTGTGCCATGGGCATGGGTGCGCGTTGTGCTTGGACCAGTTGTTGCTCCGAGGGGGACCATTTCTGGTACACCCAGGCCCCATCTGGGAGGATGGTCTTCTTGGCCACTGCAGTGTCCCAGAGTTGGCTGCCCACCTGGCTCTCGCTGATCTGCACCACCCGCGTGAGAAGTTCCTGCATCAGTCCTTTCAGGAGGTGGGTGCGCAGGGTGAGCCACTGCGGGTTCTCCCGATTCTGTGGCATCTTCTCCTTCCAGTCTTTGGCCAGCACCGCCATAATGGGCATCATGCCTATCGGGTGCGCACGGGCGAAGATAACGAAGGAGTCCTGCTTGTGAAGATTCTGCAAGCTGCGATCGTGGTTCAGCAAGAGGTTGGCCATGGCCTTGATCACTTGCGTCATGGCCAGCTCCCTCTGTGTGACCCCTGTAGCCTCTGTGCTTGTTGGCTTGTGTCGCTTGTGCTGCCTGTCGTCGCTTGCGTCCTGCTGCTTGCGTGTCCCCAGCAGAGGAGCCAGCGCTTCCAAGCTGTCCATCAGCTCTTGGTCCTGTCTGTCCCACGTGACGGAGTCCATGGAATGGGAGCAGCAGCAGTGCGATCTGTCTGAGCACTGGGCACCCTGAGGTAAAATGGGCTTGCAGACGCATGCATCTTTCACGTGGGTCCATGAGATCCCTGGGGTCATGTGGCAAATTGAACACCAACTGGCAGTAAATGCAGTGATAATCCTGGGGTTGCAGCTGTTGCATGCAGTAGTGCAATTGGTAGACAATCTGAGTTGCCCACGCACTGTCATTGGGGTGCATCACGGTCAAGTGATTGGGCAGATGAGCCGCATGGTAGAAACCTCCACATACCACACAACGGGTTGTCAGCAACTGTAACACAAGTGGATCTTGCCACAGCCGAGAGAACTGGCGATCCCTGAGGAAGCGTTCAGTCAGTCGGACTGCATCTCCATCACCCAAGTTTGTCAGCATGGCCTGCAACAGGGAGTTTGTGTACACTGTGGGGACCAAGACTTCAAGTTCACATTGATGAAAAATCATGGCCAGTTGTCTCATCACCGTGCAAACGTGTGTTCTGTTGCTGCCATGGACCGATGGGTTGCACAGGCATCCTGTTTGTGATATCACCGTCTGCAGGAGGAAGCGCAAGGTTTCCTGGGAGTTTCTCCACAGTGCACCGTGTGATTGCAGGAGGTGTGCCACAAGGTCTCCCTGCCTCTGGTAACGTGTGCCACAAAACTGACATGTGAGCGATAGCTGCATGCGCTGGATGGATGTGAAGGCTGGAGCCGTGAACTTGCCCTCAGCAAGCAGTCCCTCCCAACGTGCAGCAACCTCCAACGGTTGGGGGGAGGACTGGGGGTCAAAGTCCCTGCAGCGCCCCTCAGTGATGTGGCGTCTCAGGCCTGAGCGCGTGGTGAAAAGTTCACCACAATGCGCGCATCCAGAACTGTGCTGATGAGCGTCCCTGGATGGGCACCAGTCATTGATGATGATCCCATGAACCTGGCAAACATGTCTGTATAACAGCGCCATTGTCGCCTGAGTCTGTGAGCAGATGTCACAAGTTCTGGCGATCAGGTCCATTTGGTCCGGCGGCTGTTGCAAAATTCTCAGGAGTCCAATTTGCAAGGTCACATTGCAGCTATGTTCCCTTTTGCAGGTGAGATTGCACAGGGAGCAGTGAGAGTCTCTGTCCAGCATGTGTGTCAGTTGGGCTCCCTTTGCAATGCCCCCCATCAGGAGCTCAGCATGGTGGAGCCGCATGTGACTGTGGAGTTCTTGGAACCTGTTTTGCCACATGCCACATATCATGCAGTGGTTCATCAGGTATTCACTCATGTCCTGTAGTGTTGGCAGATCCGTCCACCGTTGGTCATGCACAATCTGTTTCAACATCGGCCAGAAGCGTTGAGTGCCCACATGAAACTGATCAACGTCCAGGTGGGGTGCTCGGTAGATTCAGGGCCAGGCAGATTGGCGGTGTCATCTGTCTCCATTCTCCACCACTGGCGTGGACGTCCCTGTGTGGCCTGGCAGCAGTCACGCTCTATGTGAATGTGAAAAGTGCGCCAAGTGGTAAAAACCATATGGCAATTGCTGCATTGAGGCCGTCCATGCAGTGCAAAATCCAATGGGTAGCTCTGTGCAGTACGGTGCTGGTAGCTAGAATGAACCACAGTCATATGCCTACGAAAGTTGGGCAGTGAAGTAGTGCAGAACGAGCAGTGTGGGCATTGGTGGGCCTCACGCGTCAGCACTGGTCGATCAGGATCTGGATCTATTGGCACCTGTGCATGATGATCTTGGAGCATGTCGATGAGTCGGATGGTTTCATCAAGGTGAGTCCAATTGAGAGTATGCAGAAAGTCATGGGTGGCAATCTGAGTCGTCCGCGCAGTCACTCTGGCAAAATGGGTCATGGCAAGGCGACGTAGCATTTGCAAGGGCGGCTGCAGTTGATGGTGTCTGATGGCCTGCTGATGCGTGTGATGTGTCACATAGGCATGGTCGCCTATTACCGATCTGAGCATTCTGTACACCGTGGCTTGATATGAGTGCAGGATTTTGGTTGTGCACTGTAAGGCAAAAACGCTATAGGTGAGGATGGTGTGCACGCAACTGGTCCACAAATGCAATCGATGCTGTAAGTGAATTTGCCTGTTTTTGATCCAGGGCTGCAGTCTACGGAATGCGGTCCAGGCTGATTTGGTGCGATGGGCCCAGGACAGCTCTTCAAAGGATCGATAACTCATGATCATGCCAAGGTATGTACCTGATGCTTTCATCGGCAACGCAGTATTTTGACCAGTGCTGCGGGGAATCAGGATGGTCGTACCATCAGGTGACTGTCTCTGGATGCCTTTCAAGGCAGCACGATGGTTAGTCCCTGCAACTGCTAACATGGCAAAAGTTTTGGTGTAGGACAATTCAAGGCGCATTTCTTCGAGAGTGTCTAAAACCAATCCAATGTTTTTGAGGGACAGTCTGAGCTCAGTCAAATTGGCAAACTGGCAACCGATATGCACGTCGTCTGCGTACAGCGTCAAGCACTCAGCTATCCAATCAGAACCAGTTTTTTGGGACAATGTGCACAGAAACTTGTCCATAAACAACACCCACAACAATGGGGCCGCTTTACATCCTTGGCGCAGGCCTTTGCCAACAGCAACCGATGTAGTGGTATGAGGAGCGGTCAATTGATACTGAGTACCTTCGTGCCAGGACGCTAGCAATGAAATGATATCAGGAGTAACGCCAATGGCTTGTAGATGATTAAAAAGGTGCAGTCTCCAAACATTGTCAAAAGCCCGTGTCATGTCCAAAAATAAGGATAGACCTCCACAGATGGTGGTTTTGGGTGCATGAGAAATCCTCTGCATTGGTGTTCTCCGATGTGCGCCAACTAGGCTTCGAATTTGGACACAGTGCCGCGCAACACGGCAGATCGCATCAGTGGCTGATCTCATGGGGAGGAATCCAAAATGGGGGCTACCAACCAACCTGCCTAAGACCTGCGATTTCAGGCATTGGGTAAGAAGGCCAACAACAATCTTACCAAGGGGCTCCATGAGTGAAATAGGTCTTAAATGGGAGGGGCAAGTGTTGGGCTTCCCCGGTTTTGGGAGAAAAGTCAACCAAGCGTCCTTCCAAATTTGGGGTATGATTGGGGGTTGTTGTGACCACCATCGTTGCAAATGACCATAAATGTATTCAGCAACCACTGCGGGCGACCCTTTCCAAATTAAGGCTGGCAGGAACGGTGGTGCAACGGACTTGTTGGGATGTGATGCAGCAATGGCCGTCTCCAGTTCAGCCAAAGAGAATGGCACTTCCGGCGCCCTCTCAGAGTAGCACGGCAGGGTTGCAGGTCCTTGCCATGTTGTCTGGACAAATCGTACAGTCAATGCATGGGCCATGTACTGATTAGCGATCTGTCCTTCAGGGGTTCTGAGTCTGGCCCGGGCCATGGGCCGCTTTGGGGAGTACCTGTTGATGGTTTGGAACATGGTGTGAGCATCATGGAGTTTTGCTGCGTGTTCAACATCTTTGCACAATTCCTCAAAGCGGTCTGCTTTGGCACGTCTGGCCTGCTTCTGCTGCAATCGTTGCAGGCGTGCAGTGTGACACCAATGGAACCAAGCCTGAAAACACCGTCTGAAGGGACTGCCAACATGTTGGTGCTGGAGTCTACGGATGCATCTACGGTGGTGCCACTTGTCTGCAAGAATGTCACGAAATGTGCCATAGTCCACCGTCCGTCCAGGATCCTTTTGTTTAGAAAAAAGGTTTTGAAGTTTATCAGCAACAACTGAATGAATTCTGACAATTGGGGAGTCTGGGGATTGTACATCCACTGTCTGTTGGGTGGCATGATGAACTGTTTGCTGGAGCTCCAGCCATGTCGGACTCTCCTGAAGAAACGCCCGGCGACATGAAGCCCGTTGGGAATAAGTGCATTGAGTTGGATTTGAGAACTTTTGATGGGGGATAATTCGAGTTTTAAGAGAACACTGGATGGGGATGTGATGAGAAAGGTTATTCGGGATGATGTCAGCATGTGGAAAAAACTTGACCTGTTTAGATTGTCCATCACAACTGCTGATCCGCGTAAAGAAATGATCGATCCTGGATGCAGTGTCACAGTGCACATACGTCGGTCCTGTGGACTCGTCCCAGGCCGTCAGTGAAATCAAACCATGCTGTCGGAGCAATTGCATCAGGTGATGCTGATCCGCATGAGGTCTGCTCTGGCATTTGCGTCCTTTCCATTTGAAGGCAGCAGTGCCCGTCCAGGGCGGAGAAGCAGCAGTGGTGCAGTTGAAATCTCCTGCCAGGAGTAGATTATTCCGCTGAGGCATCTGATACAAGCAAGTGTCTAATGATTTCCAAAGTTGGACCCTGGCTTCATTGCTGGCAGTCGTTTTGTGGTCAGTGTGCTGGTAGACGGCCACCAGGTCGATTGCACGTTTGTCAAAATGCATTCTGATGTGCAACAGGCGTCCAGGTACACGGTCATCATAGCCAATGTGCTCCGAACTGCAAAACTTGCGGGCGATCATTATCAATATCCCTCCCGATCGGCTTTCAGCAGCCGCAGAGTGTATATAGGACCAATTCTCATCACTCCAGCAGGAGTTGAATCCCCACCGGGTCTCCGTCAGCACAAATGCATCAGCTGGATGGGTTTTTGTCCATTCCTTGAACTCCTGAAATGTGCTCTGCGCCATACCTCCCGGGTTCCAATGGAAGGCTGTGAAACGGGGATGCCTTGTAGCAGCATGCAAAAACTGTGGTTTCAGCTTGGGCTGTACATCAAATTCTGCTGTGATACGTTGCACCAATGATGAAGGAAAATCTTGAGGACCGAAAGTGCGCCCTTTATATTGGGTGGTTCCATACAGCACCGCACGTTTGCAAGCTCTACGGTAACTGCGTTTCTGCACAGCTGAACTGGGTAGGGAGTGCTGTCTGGAGCCGTAGCTCAATGGTGGCGGTTGTCCGCATTTTGCAGGATTGTTACAAAATTCCTGAACCCATGAGTCTGCTTCAGCAACCGTAGTGGATCGGTTGCAACCCTCACCCTGATGGCCAGTGATTTCAAAACCTGGAAAGTCATGCAATGTCTGTTGTCTTCTGGTGCCGCATCGATGCATGTCACCAATCAGCATGGCCACCCCCGGATTTGGGACCGGGTTACAGTCACAAATGTTGTGTCGAGTGAAAAAGCTCCAAATGGCAAGGAAAAGAATGATAGACATCGATGGAAAAATCCTGTTGTATTGAATCAGTGTCCGCAATCAAGGGCTACGTTGGCCAGCAGGAAAGCGTACACTGCACTGAACCTGAAGAATACCAAAGGGGCCTATCAGAACGCGGGAGCCCCACCCGCCAAACCTTCTTGGCTGATAAAAAGGGTGCCACCCCTGTCTGCAGTGAGTGGAAGCCACTCCACCAGTTAGGCCAGTTCGATATGGCTGGATCGAATCAACGACGGGGGGCCTCTCCTATCCCTGTGATTCCTCACCACTCGGGGCAGTGCATTGACTGCAAAGGGCTTGTGTGTGTGTGTGCGTGTGCGTGTGCGGAACCCTGTTAGCCAAGGGAATGCATGTCCTGTTCTTACCTTTCCTTGTTCCCTCTTTCACCTCTGGTTTCATGTCTTCATCATCCATTTCGCGCAAAGAAACAAAGAGAGACAAGAGAAGCAGTCGGTGCCCACTCTGCTGGGCTTGGGCATCCTGATGAGGAAACCCAGCAGAGCATCCGAAACTGCAAAGAGACAGAGACAGATTTCTTTCATTTTCATCCCTGCGTCAGTTTAACTGGCCAGCGCGACAAAACTCCGGCTATGCATAAAGAACTCCAAAAGATCTGCGATTGGATCAGGATGTTCGCATAAGACTGGGGGCCGCTCAGCGGTAACACTACAAGTGTGTCAGATGCGGGCCGTTTTCGCTCCGTCGAGTCGGCTACTGAACTCTCCCCAAAGTCTGCAAGGGAGGGCGACGAGGTGGAGCTTTATGCTCAAGTAGTTTGGGATTTATCCCACCTTGGCCATTGTGCCGGTTTAGAGAAGGCTTGCCCTCTCAAGTTCAACAGTTTTGGATAGTGTGCAAAACGCTCTCCTCCCAAATTCCAAGTTTTGGGTTTTTTTCCCCTCCAACTTTACCAGTTTAAGCGCAAGCGCCGCTGTCTATGAGATTTTTCTGTTAACTTTTCGAGCATGGCTCAGATTTATTCCAGCTCGTTTCTCTACTACCCCAGTGTGTGAACATCCTTTGGTTTCCAACTGGTTTCTGAAAAGCTTGATTCATCTCGCTTTTCTCCTGGTTTACCTTCAAGGTCGAGGACTAGGCACGCAGTCATTTCTCATCATCTTCACTTTCATCATTCAGCACCATCTTCTTCCCTCCTCCTCTTTCCCTCGGTATGTTTGTTCTGATGCATGTGTGTGTGTGTGTTAACGTCTGTTTGTTTTTGTTTATGTTTGTGTATGTGGGATGCTTTGGTCGCAGCGGTGTGGATTGTTTTTGCTTGTTTGGAGGGCAACCAACCAGCGTCGGTGACACACACATGAATCTTGGCAATTTCCTTTCTACTCGATCCTGGATTTTTGTGTTTCTTTCCAAACCTGGTATTTGAATGCACCTTTTGCTTTCGGAACGACACTGTTGTAAGAGTGCTTGCACGAGCACAGTTAGAAACGAGAATGCAAGCGAGATCGAGCTATTTTTCTCCATTTGCTGTGCCGTTTCAGCATTCTCAGACCATTTGTTGGCATATTTCATGCTTCCAACCACAGTGAATTTCCCAAGTTAAATGTTCACACCTCACAACCGTTCATACGTCCCCTGGTTCCAATTTTTATGGCCTTCCACGGTTTTCCATTTTAGTTTGGGGTTTCAACATTTTTTGGTGCCACCACAAACGCCGCCCCAGTTACTTTTACTTTTACTTTGGAGACTAGTGCCCCGGTGACGTCTAGGAGTTGTCCGGAATTTTTGAAGGGCTTATGTGTTTGTTTGTGGGGTTGTTAGGTTGTTTCGTTTTTTAAACTCAGTTGTTCAGGCTTTTCGGGAAGTTACGTTAATCTGTTGAAAAGTGGAACAGTTTCTTTAATGTGTGAGCTCACATTATTGTTTAACCTATCCGGCCAGCAATGTCGTTCACTATCTTCACTCCGAAGCTGCTACCGTTGAACCAGCGGGCTATGTCAACGCAATCGGCAGCAACATCGAGTACCTCTCGGGCATCAGTTGCGAACGCGCTACATCAAGATCTACATCCTCTCAACAACTTACCGCGAGCATTCGTTTACCCACCAAGCCCGTTGCCACCTCCACCAGCTCCAGGACAAACCAAGCAAACACACTTGCCAGCCCAGCCTATTCTGCAACCTTTTGATCCCGGGCCCAACTACAAACCAGCAGCAACACCAACCATTTCTTTTTTACAGCAAGTGAAGCAAAAACTCCAGCCACCACCAGCACCTACATTACCATTGACACGTGACCAAGCACAAAGTTTTCAACTGGGATCAAAATCTGCATCACTACCACCACCGCGACAGCAACACCCACAACCACAACGAAGCAGAAGCCCTCGGCAAACGATGTCACCCAGCACTTTTACCACCCTTTTGCATTCAAACATACCGCAGACACCTCCGAACACCAAAACAATTACAATTGCAGATAAGCTTGACGGGCTTTTTCCCAAGCAATTTGAGATTGACAAGAAGAATTTTCATGAAGTCGCTTCAATTTTGGCAAAAAGTAGACTGGCACCACAAGATTTGCAACACAGTTTGCTCCTACACTTTGAACCACAAGAAGGTGAACATTTGAAACCATGCAATTTTGCTTTGGTTTTATTCAAAGCTTTCAACACAAAACAGCCACCTTTGACCAGCAGACGAAATCGACTACTCTTTTTTGGTCACGCAACAAGGGAAGAAAATGCCGTGTCTATTCTCAACGAAGGAAAAATTCGAGAAAGTATCAAGGACAACCCGCGAAGCCAAGCGTTTTGCTGCCAGGGCAACGAAGTTTATTCTGCAGAACCCAATATGTGGGGTGAAGACTTTGAAGAGCTCCCCGGCATCGCTCGCACAGTGGCAAAAACTACCGCTTTAGCCAAGCACCAGACTTCATTTGTGATAGTAGGGTTGGCGTGGGGATCACTACAGAAGAATTGTTCTGGAGGAATTCGAACAACGTTGGACCTAGCTACGTTTGGTGGGGCACTAGATGCACAAGGTGACCAAGGACACGTTCATGACCTAGCTAGTGAATTTCCAGGAGATGTAGTTCGTGACCATAACAACAAATGTTACTGCTGCCACACGAAAAGACATTGCATTTTGGGCATCGCATTCCCAGTGACCTTTGGCCGTTTTTTGAAATGAAGCAATTGTACAGCACTCTAAGATTTCAAAGCGGGGCAAACTGCCTTGCCAACCAAAAACATTGCTATGATTCAATTCCAGCCCGGCATCCCCAGCAAAAAAATGGACGTTGTGACGATTTGCGTTTTCCTGTTTCCGAACTAGACCTTGGCAGTTACGTCAGGCACACGAACCATGTCATCACCCTGTTTAATGTTTCCATTTCCAGTTTGTTCGCACCCCCTGGGCACTTGGCTGTTTGTCTGTTGATGTGTTGAAGTCGCGGTTTAGTGCCTGCAGTCCTTGAGACCGACTGTGTACCATGGAAAATGCATCATTGGGCGGATGTCTCTGACATGCTGTCAACGTTTTTTTTTTGGCAGAACCACCAAACCATTGGTTTTTTCTTTCTACTGCCCCCAACAGGTCACCGTTTGCCGTCTTTGGTTTCTTCTTTTTGTTTTTCCTTTTTTCTGTGTTTTTTCTTTTTATTTTTGTTTGGGCATTTCTTGGTTGCTTGGAAGTAGATCCAAATTGATTTGCAATGATACTCTATCTGCGGCGGTGCCACGCGGATTCCCCGCGCTCGAGAACCGACGTCGTATTTTTTGGGGGGTTGTTTCCAACCATTTCCCACCCAGCTTTCCTTGGGTTTACTGGTTTACCTGGTCGACGAGTTCGTTCGCATAATTGCGGGCTTTGCCTTTCCGCATTCTCGCCACGTAATCCAACGCCCCGAAACTTTGACTCGCGGTTTGTTTTTTTGGGGGGTCTTTGATTTTTAAGTATATTGACTTGAGAACAAGGGATAGGGTCGAGAGACACGACTGGCAGCATTGCAGCTTGGTTTTGCAGACGTACAAATTTGCAGCTTGACAGTGTGACCGTGCAGCTTTGTCTTGCAGTTTTGCAGTTTTCTCTTGCAAACTTGCAGTTTTGTCTTCAGCTTTGCAGCTTAATGTGACAGCAATGCAGCTTTGTCTTGCAGCTTTGCAGCTTTGCCTTGCAGCTTAACAACTGTATCCGACTGTGATCATGCACCTTGATAAGTATGAGACTCACGGCATCGCTAGCAGCTTTGTCGCCTTCCATCATGTGACGTTAGTTTCACCTTCCAGCAAGGGCACTACAGAATATAAACGTTGAACTTACTTTGTGAAAAAGGTTTCACAAGCCACAAGCCCATTCAAATTTTGAGCCAGCAGCAGTCATTTTTGCGACTCTGATGTAGCCCCTTTTTTGTCAGACCTGCGTTTCGATCTGCAGTGCAAACCGTGCCTCATCAATGGCGTGGAACAAGTCCGGCTCTTCTTGGCCCAATTGGAACCCAAACAATTCCTGGGGATCATGGTCAGACAGCCACAAGAACTCATGGGATCAGAGCCAGCCAGAGTCAAAGTGGGATCAGACCAAGCCATCCGCCAGCATCACCCAGACTCCGGTTCCTTCAGACTTTCAGGCTGATGAGGAGTTCTTAGACAACCGTGAGAAATATGGGTACAAACTCCACCGCAAAGTTCAACCCACCAATTGGTCCCGAAAGCGGCAACTAGCGGGCCGCCCGGTGGAAGACATAAGCATCGTGGACATCACCAAGAACGGCTGGGAAGAACATGCGCTTCGAGTTTTGTCTCAAGGGTCCTTTGTCACGCCAGTGTGGGCCCGATCCACATCAGAAGCAGTGTTCGCTGCAGGGTTGTTCAAGAAGATCAGGGAAAAGAAATACAATATTGATGCCATTGCTGAACGCATTTGGGCTGACAGCAACACACCACCCCCCAG